TTTCACACTACTTTGCCCCTCCCTTGAAAAATTTCTGCGGACATCCATGTTACTTCATACCGTTTTCACGAACAATATATCAAAACCCCCTCAGGTAACCCCCAAAAAAAGTTGCAGTATATGATACAGTTCAGAGAAGTCAACCAGGGGCACAAATACTTTTTATGTGGGGGAGGCATCTTTTATAGTTACGCCACTGAGAAATGTACACATACTTCACAAAATTACAATAATGTGCACACTCTTTACAAAAAATAAAAAAATGTTGCAATAATATACACGTACTTCACGAAAGAAAGTTCCAATAACATAGATAAAACAAAGAAAGATAATTTCGACACAGCAGGTAGCGAAATCAGTTTCTAGGAACACGTGATATGATTATTCAAGTAACCTTTAGAACGTCAAACCGTATAGCCTCTTTGGAAACATTTTTATTATAATATTTGTCATGCTATAGAACACAGCAGCGTGTAAAAACCCACTGGTGTTCTTCATACTGTATGAATGTAATACGAGTCTAGAAAGTACATTATATTTCCCTGTTTAATCTGGTTTTCCCCAAAGTACAGGTTACTTAGGTTCTTCCCCATCACGTGAGTATGCGTGTGTTCAGCGTCCATATGTATGATTGCATTCGTTAGGGAAACCCCTACCCTCCGTTAGAAAGACAGTTCTGCGATAGGGTTTTATTTTTGTTTTTATTTTTATTTTATGGTATATAATCTGTAATTTTTGTTTACCTCTACATAAGTGTGAACATCAAAATATCACAATTTACGTCTACTTATTTTTGGATTTCCTTTTCTTAATAAGCAAAGCCTTTGGGCATGTTCTTATTTTAATACATTTTGTATCAGAAATAATTTTTGCGATAAAGAAAATTTATTGTTCACTTGGAGAAGTCTTTCTTGTTTTTGTTCACTTGTAAAAGTCCATGTTCCCATTGTTCACTCGTAGAAGTCCATGTTCCCATTGTTCACTCGTAGAAGTCCATGTGGTTATTATTGTTCACTCTTAGAAACCCATGTTGTTATTGCTCATTGTAGAAACATGTGTTGTTAGTGTTCACTTGTGAAAGTCCATGTTGCCATTGTTCAGTCGTAGAGGTCCATGTTGTTATTGCTCATTGTAGAAGTTTGTGTTGTTAATATTCATTTGTAGAAGTATATGTTGATTGGGTAATGAAGAAAAACTTTAATATAACAGCAAATGATGATGACAAAACCTTGTCGAAACGTTGTACATTTGCTGTTATATTAAAGTTTTTCTTCATTACCCATTCAAGCCGTCTCCAGCCATTATTAGTTTCAAGCCGTCTCCAGCCATTAATAGTCTTATAAAAATCGTATCTTTGGTTCGGAAATGTTATGATGTCGCACCATCCTGGCTGATGATCATTAGACATGTCTTGGATATAGATACATTTTATAGTCATTTTAACCATAAAAACAACACCAATTATAAAAACTGTATGTCTATAACATCCTAGTTAGAAGATGTGGCTAGCAAGGATTGTACAGATAACGTCTCGTCTTTGGTTAGCTTGATGCTCCAATATCACGGTTCTCCCACATTGATCATTTAAAGTTCATACTTCATTGGGCTGAAGAAAGACCCTGTTCCATGATCCACAATCTAATCGAATAGAATATTTTGTAAAGTATAATTAACTGGCATGTTCATTCATGTGGACCATGTTCACTCGATGATGTCAAGTGAGATTTGACTTCAAATAAATAGGGAGATTTTATATCACCAAGAGCTGGGCTGTACGATGCTACACGTCTACATTATTAAACTTAAAATATGCACTTGCCGACTGGGTAAAGTTGCCAAGGGATTACATCACCTGTTTTTCTATAGTTTTGAACACCTTGTGTTTATGGGCAAGTTTCACAGTGTTTAATTATCTTGTTGTTACTAACTTTGACTTTCAACTATTTACAGAGGTATCATTCCTTCAAGCTGTTGTGGACTCTCAGGTCCAGCTACCCTGCAATATCAGCCTTCCTTCTGAGGACGACTCTGTATCGTTGGTGTTGTGGTACAAATCAGGAATAAGTGCTCCAATTTTCAGTGTAGACTCTAGAAAAGGGCCACTGCAAAAATCCAAACACTTCACCAGTGATTTCCTGGGACAGCGTGGTTACTTGGACTTTAGTTTGGACGCTGACTTAGCCTTTCTAACCATCAAAACTGTGGAAAAGGAGGATGAAGGAGACTACAATTGTAGGGTTGACTTTCGATGGGGACGAACTCTCAAAAGCGCTGTAAAAGTAGAAGTTATCAGTACGTAATCTATATATATATATATTTAAGTTTAGTATTGTTTATCTAATGAAATATATCGTTAAAGCACTTGCGAGGAAAACAAAATCAACTTAGAAATGATACTAACTCAAATGGGTGAAAAAGATGTCATGTAAAATGAACCAAGGTTTGAGTGATGTTGGAATGCTCTTTATTTAAAGCATACAGAAAGATGTCGCTCTACTGCGGAATAGAGCAAATATATTGTATAATAAAGCTTTACACACATTTTTTTTTCTCTTAAGTGTACGAGTTTTCCTTTAGCATGTCAATTATTTCGATAGAGTTCAAAAGTTAGTCAAAGAATGAGAATTTATTTGCAAGTAAGACACATTAGGAACTTTTATTTTACTGAGACTATCAGATCCTTAAGCCTAAGATCTATGCAGTTTAATGCATAAAGTAGAATTAGTTAGAAGTTGCAGAGCCGTGTTTTACAATAAAAACTCGGCTAGTTTGGTCAAGATAATAGCATAATAGTAGAAATGAGGAAGGTATCATTTGTGAGAGGTGGTAGATATCTTCGTATGTGTACCATTGCCTGTATGTTAATAATGAGTGTTCGATCCAACTAGTTTACTCAAAAACTTGTGGAAACTAAACACAATTTTGATACATATTCCGTCAAAAAAAATGCAGTAGAAGTGATCGGTGTCAGGAATGGCTAACAAAGATACAACAACTTCGTCTTTTACAAAAAATAGAATATTTTACTCGTTTAAAAAGGCCAATGTTTATTTCAAATTCTTAAATAAACAACGTGGTGTGTACCTTCCCAGTTTAAGTAAAGTAGTACAGCGACACAAACACATCATTTGATAAAAACAGGCATAACATCTAATGTTTACCGAAATAGAAAATTAACAAATTATAATGAACGTGTTAATTGATAATGTATGTCAACTGTTTCGTACTTGAACGTATAAACAACATTACATTCCATGAAAACACATCTTTAAAAATCAAAGAGGGACTTGATAACAAATACAACTAAGTATACATTACGTAATGGCTAGAAATAATAATAGTTTTGTGAACGCAGCAAACTAACTTAACTTTCTAATCGATATTTATATTGTTATTTCATTATTGTTAAATGTACGTCTTCTTGTGGGTCTGTTTGACTGACAAAAAGAGATTTAAAAACCTAGCTGCTATAGTCCAGTATTTCTTTGCTTGTAGAAATGATAAATATAAAGAAACACACGAGTTTATTTTTAATACATATATATGTTATTTTTTACTAAAGCTTTATGATATTGGAGCAAATTTACAAAATTAATGTATATTTGTAACTGCTGTGTAGATTACCATATACGTGTAAAAATACAAACGTAATCCTACTACTTAAGCAGGTACGTTTTTCATGCTAAAATAAATAAAATGATCCTTTGTTAACATGTGATATCTGACTCTTTTAGCGCAATATTATATGCCAGAATATCTATGCTCTCCCCGCTACAAGGATCAAATCCCAAATTTTAGCATTACAAGTCCTTAGGCTTACTGCTGAGCCGCTGGGGAACATTAAGATGTTTATAATGCCCAATTTCAAATATGTTTTTGTTAAATTCCTAATGGGTCTGGCGAGGTCTAGTGGGTAGTGTATCAGGACTGTGAAGCATTTGATTCATGGTTCGCAACCCGTTTTAGAAAAACATGCTCTGAACTTTAAGCCCCGAGAATGTGCTATAAGAGGACAGCCAAATCTCATTATTCTGTGAGACAAGATTAGTCCAGAAGTTAATGGTAAGTGTTGCTGATGAGCTGCTTTCTCTCTCTTGTCTTTCAGCTCAAAATTAGGGACGACTATGTGCAGACATCCATTTGTATAGTATTGCGTAAAATTTCAGAATCATTCAATCAAAAATGAATAGAAGTGAAGAATTGTTAACTGAAAATAATGTGTTTTTATAGCTTATTAACAAATTTGTTAGTTGGGCATGGCATGGCCTGATGGTTAGGGCGATCGACTCACAATTGGAAGGTCGCGGGTTCGAGTCATCAAACATCTTTCCCCTTTAGAGTTACTGTCAGAGCCAGCCATCTACCCGAATGCAAATATTTTGTCCAATTCATATCACTAATTCATATCAGAAAAATAAATGTAGTAGTTATGGAATTAACAACATATAAGGATAACACAGATTTTAATTTTTAGTCCACGTTTTATGAGTGAAATGTTTTTTTTTGTTGTTTTGTTTAATCTATATATTATTCTCAATAATATATGTCATAACATATTATCTTAGAATTCTGGGCCGGTCTAATTATACATACTCTGTATATTTTAACATTCTCCTTTTTTTTGGAACTAATGCTTTCCACTCTCTAAATGTATCAATGTTGAATAATTAAATTACCATGACGTCAAAAAAAGTATGTTTTTCTACGACTCCTATAAACCTTTTCTGAAGAGAACGGTAATCGAATAATGATTGTATTCATTGTAGAGGATCAATACTCGCAAACATTTTTTTTCAACTCTTCTTTCTACATCCTTATGTTTATTTTAGTTCTTCTTTCATTATATGCAGCTTCTAAGATGATTCTCTATCGAAAGTTCCTGTGTCGGCAACCAGCCTACTTCTTTTTTATGTTAATATATATATATAATTCAAATCTATACAAAAGGTGTATTAGGTTGTTAGTATCTAAAATCAAAGTTGTAAGATACATCTCTCTCTTAAACCATTCGATCTGGATTAAACTCGGTATGTCCTCATAATAAAATTAAACTTACATAAAAACAATTCTAAGGTAGGGATTACTAAATACTTTAGACGTTCGAAAAGTCGTTCATGAACTTATTTATTATTACGCATTAATTTTAAAAGCTAGAAATGTAAATGGTGTTATTCAAAATATCTCTGTAGTTCCTCCTAGGAGCGTCACAATCACTAATGAGAAAAACGAGCTTCTGTATGGAAGGATAGGTCCTTATGACGAAGGTTCTTCCCTCATTCTTCGCTGTGTTGCAAAAGGAGGTGAGCTTAGCTTCTAGTTACTTTGCTATCAAAGGTAAGTTTTTTTTTTTTAAGAATTAAAAACTGGAGGTACAAAATATTCCAGTGTTTAGAGAATCTATGCAGTAGCTGCTGAGATTGAAGATTTAAAAATATATTCAGTGCTACAATAATCTTTAAAGTGTGAGTTTTACATTATCCTTAATGGGCGTGTAGAGCTAGGAGTGGCCTAGTGATCAAAGTGTTGGGCTGCGGACCGTGATGGTTCTGTAGTTCGAGACATGATGTTGTTGAACAAGCTCCTCACTCTCAGCGAATGACATGTTTTAAAAGTGACAGCCAATCCCGTTAATCGATATAAAGATCCACGCACAGTCCTAGTTGCGGTGGGCGATACTGGCTGGCTGCAACACTTAGTTGAATAGTTCAAAATGATGAACAACTATATATAAATGTTATGGGGTATCTGACCTGGTCATTTAGCTCATTTGACCACAAGTAACAGTTCAGGTTGAAAATTCGAAATTTCTAATTCCACTTCTTAAGGCCTGGCATAGCCAGATGGGTATGGCGCTCGACTCGCAATCTGTGGGTTGCGGGTTTAAATCCATGACCCACCAAACATGCTCGCCCTTTCAGCCGTAGGGGCGTTATAACATGACGTTCAATCCTATTATTCGTTGGTAAAAGAGTAGCTCAAGAGTTGGCGGTGGGTGGTGATGACTAGCTGCTTTCC